TTCCTAAAAGAGGCTCTCCTTCACGAGCGACTTCACAGCTCGTGCGAAGGCTGATGGAGAAGAGTTGGGAGTGTGAGGGTGGCAACCAAGTGCTTAGCTACTGCCTCGAGGTCCACGAGATGGACCCTAGCCAGTGGTCTTGACCACGGCACGTGGAGCCCCTCGTGAAGATGCCTTAGGCATTTGAGCTAAGGGCCTCAAGTAGCATAGCTACTTCCTCAAGGACCACGAGAGGGACCATGGCCAGTGGTCTTGACCACGTATCGTGGAGCCCCTCGTGGGAATGCCTTGGGCATGGAAGCTTAAGGAACTAAGTTCCTAGCTACTGCCCCAACTTCACGAGTGGGACCACGGATCATGGTCCTCACCACGGCTCATGAGGACCCCTCATGGTACCTAGGCAGGGCACTTAAATGAGGGTTAATTAAGTATTTTCCTTTTTTAAGTCCAATTAAAGTGAGGTCGTTTTGGGCAAGTTTGGGGTCACTATATAAGTTGTTTTTAATTCAAAATTCCCTAAACTAAGTCATTTTTCACAAACACCCAAATCAAAATCAAAAGTTCATCTTCCTCACAATATTTCTCTCTCTAAAACCCAAAGAAGAAGAAGAGAAGAATTGGAGCTAGGGTTTGAAGGAAATCAACGCTTCTTCCTCAATTTCTTTGAAGAATCATCCTAAGGTATGGTGACTTTTCATCTATGGGTAGCTTTCACCCATAGAGTCCCTTGAAAACAAGATCTCAATGCTTTCAATTTCCCCAAAAACTTAGGGTTTCACTCTAAGTCATGGGTTCCTTTCTAAAACGTTTTCAATGATTCATTTATGTTGGGTTATGTTGGAATTGATGATTTATTGTTGATTTATGATTAAATCCCTCCATGAACCCATGAATTCCCCATATTACTAAATTGTGATTTCATAATGTGGGTTGATTGATTATAGAAGCATGTGATTAGATTATGTCTATATTGATTTAATTTTTTGAATCATGATATTCTCCATATATAATGTAGAAATTCTAGATGTTTGGGTTGAATGTGATTCATGGTCCTTGAAGGGCCAATTATGAGAATTTACATGAATAGGAGAATTGTGCATGTGCTTTAGGATTCACCTTGAGAATGAAGATCCTATGACTATGGTGTAATTGTGGTATTGTTGAAAGATCATTCTCCTCTATACCCTTACACATGACTATGTATGAATTGTCTATGACTATGATGATCTTTTTGTGTTGATTGAAAGGCTATTCGCATGAACACAATATGAATACGATGTGAAAGGTTTACTCACAGAATAACGATTCTAAGGTTGAAAGTCAATTCTCACCATTTTGAATCTATGAGCTATTTTTATTAGTTGTGTTGAATAGAGGGTAAGACACTCCTCCATGCATGTAAATTCAATTCAAGACTAAACATGTAAATATTGGGGAAGTAATGCTTAGCATCGAGTGACTATGGAATGTGAGGTAGAGGCCCTCCCCTCAATTCAAAAGGCCGGGTCATCTAAAGTAATCTCATGAGATTTAAGCTCCTCGTCAATTCAATAGGTTTGGGGTTTCTAGAAGCAATCTCCATATCCCATAACTATGTGCCCACATAGGTCTTTAACTAGTGGATCCACCTAAAATCTAATACATTTATTTCTACCTTAGGCAACCAGGACATCTCTTTTCGGTGTGGGACATAACATCGGATTCCATGTAGCTCCCATGGTCTATGTCGGTTAAGTCTATTTTCCCTCCATGACAAGAATATGAATTATGACAAGAACATGAACATCAACTATACTAATGACTTCTCAAGGAGCTCTACTTAGTATGAGTGGGGGTATGAGACTTCATTCATGCATTGCACAAGTAGGCTTTGAGAGGGGTTATGGTGCAGTTTTCTTATGCTATGAAGGTTTATGAATTTATTCATGTATGATATGGATTGTTGCTATGAGTGGCCTTCCTTGTTACAAGTTAATGAATATGAATGTTTCCTTGTCTATGAGTATTGACTATGGATGAGATCAAAGTATGGTATGCATGATTATGGTAACCTAGAAGTGGTACTTAGTATTAGATAGGATTATGGGATCTTGTCTATGAATTACACAAGTATAACTTAGGGTTGCTTATGAGATGGTTTGACTTATGTATTTAAACTAATGTGCATGATGACTCTTAAATTTATAAAGTGCATGGTTTCAACGAAAATGTCCTTTTTTGCATGTTTTAAGGATTTTATTGAATGGCTTCCATACTTGGTGCAATTTTGTACTAACCCATATATTCTAAATTTTCTATAAGTGTAGGTCCTGGTTGTTGAGGTGTTCTTCCTTCTTGATCAAAGTTTGGATTGACTATTCTCCATGCTTTTAGTGAGTCCTCATGGTTCGAGGACGAAAGTTGTTCATTTCTAGTTTGTTTCTTACTTCCTCTTTTGAGACTATGTTGTAAAGCATTGTGACCCTTATTGATATTCAATTGTATTGGATGTTTTAATGAGACAATGTCTAGACTTTCATTTGGTTTTTATGAAAAGACTTCGATTGTAAAAAGTTTTAATTATGCATCATGTCTATTACTTATGATTATGATAAGATAATGGCTTGTATAAGACCCCTTTGGGGTCGAGTACGTCGTGTTACATCTAGGGGATACCCCTGGGTCGTGATATAAATTCTGAATGGTGTGCTCTGCTCGACCATCAATCTGAGGATGAAAACCAGTACTCAAGTTCACCTTCGAACCCAAGCCTTTCTAGAATGACTTCTAAAATTGTGCAGTAAATTGTGCACCTCTATCTGAAATAATCATACCGGAACCGCATGAAGTCTGACTACCTCATGGATATACAACTTGGCATAATCTTCTGCTGAATGGATAGTCTTACCGTTAAAAAGTGGGCTTATTTAGTCATTATATCAACAATCACCCAAATAGAATCGTGCTTCCTATGAGATCTGGGTGAACCTGTGATGAAATCCATATTATTCATCTCCCACTTCCATTCCAAAAGTTCTATATTCTGAGCAATACCACCGGGCCTCTGGTGTTCTACTTTAACTTGTTGGAAATTCAGACACTTAGTAACAAATCTGAAATGCCCTTCTTCATACTACTTCACCAATAAACTTCTCCCAAATCACGATACATCTTTGTGGAACCCAGATGTATAGAATATTTGGAGTTATGAGCTTCCTCCATAATCCTTTCTTAAAGTTCATCCACCCTTAGTACACACTTGTTCAAAAGCCATACATTTTTGCTTATGAACATTTGCCTTCAATTCAAGAAAAATAGGATCTTGGTCTTGTTTCTCTTTCATTTCTGACACTAATTATGATTCAGCCCCATTCATCACCACTACTCCTCCTTATGTGGAATCCACTAGTCGAACTCCTAATTGTGTAAGTCTATGCACATCTTTTGCTAACTTTTTCTTATCTTCCTCAAAATAGGTGGTACTACCCATAGACAATCTACTCAAGGCATCAACAACAATATTAGTCTTACCTGAGTGATAGACAATACTCATATCATAATCCTTAAGTAACTCTAATCACCTTCTCTGTCTGAGATTAAGCTCTTTCTGACTAAACACATACTAAAAACTCTTGTGATCGGTGAACATATCTACATGAACATCATACCGATTATGACACCATATTTTCAAGCAAATACTACGGGAGACAACTCTAAGTCATAGGTTGGGTAATTCCTCTCATGAACTTTCAACTGTCTGGAGGCATAAGCTATAACTTTGCCATTCTGCATTAACACACAACCCAAACCAACTCTAGACGCATCACAATATACCACAAAACCTTGAGTACCTTCTGGTAAGGTCAATACTGGGGGAGTAGTCTACCATTTTTTCAATTCCTAAAAGCTTTTCTCACAAGCTTCAGACCATTGAAACTTAACTATTTTCTGAGTCAACTTGGTCAAAGGGGACGAAATAGATGAGAACCCCTCTAGGAACCTTCTATAATATCCAGCCAACCCCAAGAAACTCCTAATATCAGTTGGAGATGTGGGTCTAGGCCAATTCTACACTTCCTCTATTTTCTGAGTGTCAACTTTAATTCCATCACCGGAAACAATATGGCCTAAGAATGCCACAGACTCAAGCCAAAACTCACATTTAGAGAACTTAGCATATGACTCCTTATCCTTTAGAGTTTGGAGAACTATTCTGAGATGGCAAGCATGATCTTCCTCATTCCTCGAATAGAATAGAATGTCATCAATAAATACGATAACGAAGATATCTAAATAAGGCTTGAATACTCTAATCATAAGGTCCATAAACGTTGTAGGTGCATTAGTTAAACTGAACGAGTTGACCAGAAACTCATAAGAACCATAACGGGTCCTGAATGTTGTCTTTGCAATATCACATTCCCTTACTCTTAACTGATGATAGCCTGATCTGAGGTCTATCTTAGAGAAACAAGTGGCACCATGAAGTTGATCGAAGAGATCATCAATTCTCGGAAGAGGATACTTATTCTTGATGGTAACCTTGTTCAACTGACGGTAATCTATACACACCCTAAGGGAACCATCTTTCTTTCTCACAAATAAGACTGGAGCATCCCAAGGTGAGACACTTAGTCGAATATAACCTTTCTCTAGGAGATCTTTCAACTACTTTTTTAACTCTTTTAACTCTGTTGGTGCCATCCTATATGGCGGAATAGATATAGAATGAGTATCATGAAGAATATCTATACCGAAGTCTATTTCTCTCCCAAGAGGGACTCCGGGAAGATCATCTGTAAAGACTTCTGGAAACTCTTTCACTACTGGAACTGGCTGAATATGAGGTATCTCAACACTAGAGTCATTAACTCGGACTAAGTGATAGACACACCACTTGGAAACTATCTTTCTCACCTTAAGGTACGAAATAAAATTACCCTTAGGCACTATTGAACTATTCTTCCACTCTATAACTGGTTCACTAGGAAACTGGAACTTGACTACTCGAGTTCTACAATCTACTGACACATAAAAAGCATGAAGCCAGTCCATACCTAGAATGACATCAAAATATACCATATCTAAATCAACTAAGTCAGCCATGGTGCTCTTGGGATTGCAGAAATTGTACAATCACGATAGAAAATTCAGCTAGAATAGACTCACCAACAGGTGTAGAAACACCGAAGGGCTCAGGAAGAACATCGTAATTCATCGCAACATAAGGAGTTACAAAGGATAAACTTGCTCCTAGATCTAGCAAGGTAAAGACATCAGAGTTAAAGACTTGGATCATACCAATGACAACATCTGGAGAATCCTCTTGTTCTTGGTGACTAGTGATAGCATAAAGGCGGTTTCCTCCTCCGCCTGCCTCTGAAGTAGCTCCTCTAGATGTAGCTCTGTCTAGTGGAGCAACTAAATAAGACTGGGTTATATTGCCCTCATTACCATTACCCTGCTTGTTCTTAGGACACTCTCGCATAAAATGACCGTTATGTCCACACTTGAGGCAGCCAGTGGAGCCATCTCGACACATCCCTGAGTGGCTCCTACCACCCTTAGCAAATGCAGGAGGCTTACTACCCCCTTGTGCCATACTACCTTGAGAATGGGAAAGTCTAGCTTTGAAATCATGTGAATTCTAACTATTGTACTCACATTTGTTCCTTGGCGCAAGTGTACTAGTAGATGATAGAGCAGGTCCCTTCTATATATGTTGGAAAGATGACCAGTTGGCATTATTGTTCTACTGCCCGGACTCATTCCCTGTCTTAGCTTTATTATTTCGAAACTCCTCTCTGTCTTTCAGTTTCTCTTCATCAACCTATTGCACATGGATCATCATCCTTGCTATGTCCATATCTCCTATCAGCATAGTTGCCTTGCCTTCCCTACTAGACATACGAGAACACCTAGCAACAAACAAACTCATCCTGCTTCTTTTGTCAGCAACCATCTCCGGAGCATAGAGTGAAAGTTGGGTGAACATCAAACTATATTCAAGAATGCTCAAAGAATCTTGCTTAAGTGTGAGGAACTCTCGTACCTTTGCCTCTCTCAATTCTTGGGGAAATAAACGCCACAGGAAAGCCTCCTCAAAAAAAGTCCAACTCACAAGTGGTGCACCCTCAGCTTGATTCTTCTTCCATTGATCAAACCAAATTCTAGCAACTCCCTTCATTTAGTATGCATCTAGTTCCACCCTCTCAGGATCAACAACATGCATAATTTCAAAAACCTTCTGAAGCTCTTCATTAAAAAAATGTGGATCATCTATGACACTTGAACTAGGGAAACTTGGAGGATTCATCCTTAAGAACTCACGGACCCTTGAAGTATCAACCCCTTCCTGTCGATTCTCTCTTTGTCCAACTTGATTGGTCACAGCTTGGCTTAGCATCCAGAAACTTCATGGAATTCAACATTGGTGACCTCTCATTGTGGTTGCACTTCTGGTGCATTAGGTACCCCTTGTTCCTGTGGTTCAACATTCCTTCTTGCCGGACGACCTCAGACAGCTCTTCATGTAGGCATGATCTGAAAGACACGCGTAAGCACATCTTAGAAGAAACTTTTTAGAGATAATCTTTATCACACGAAATGAGTATGAAAGAAGTGAGATAGTTCCTAAATGTCGCAGCCTCCTAATTATAGATGTGGCACGTGATACGCTCAAATTACACCTCCTTAAAGAGCATAAGCGATCGTTATCAAATAAAGAACCCAACTTGAAGGTTGGGGTCGATCCCACGAGAAATATGGTTTAGACTTAACTTTAACTAATGATTATATTCGTTTAGTCAATGTATTTCCGAAAATAAGTAATTAGGGAGGGGGGGGGGATTTGTGAAACAAATTTAGGAAATTATGTAAGTAATTAATGAGCAAGATTCAAACTTTAGTTGTTATCAAGATGAGAAAGTAACTAGGGTGTACGTGTTCCCCATAAGCTCATAATGCAGTAATCCTACTAATAGCAATCATTTCCTAGTGTATTACATGCAAAGTGATAAGTTAGGTATCACTAAATACTTGGTCCGGCATCTAGAAAATTTCACCCCGCACATTGGTCCGTCTACGTGTGTATAATTTACTAACTCTTACCTTTACCTCATATTAGACATCACATCGATGTATGGCTTAGTTTTCACCCTCGCACCAACCGACATTAAACTATTAGATAGTAGCACACTAAATCTATGTTGATAATTCTTTTCTTATTAACTACCTCCTTGGTCCGGCAAGTAGCAACAAGGCGAGTTCTAATGCGTGCACTCATTAAAAAAGACTTCTAAACACAAGAATTATCAATGCATGCAACAACATTATTCAAGAATTGCTTCGTTACTATTCATACTTTGTTAATCGCTCGTGGTTCCCACAACCCTAGTTGTGGATTTAGTTACCCATATTAGCAAGAACATAATTCATATTTTTAGAAGAAGAAATCATGAACTTACGTAATGAGAATGATAAACCCAAAATTTCAACTTGAATTTCCAAACCAAAATCTTCAAAACAAACTTAGGAAATTAAGAATTGCTAAAGTTGCAAGTTAATCTCCAAAGCCAAAAACTAGAACTAAAATAATAAAGTCTAACTCTCAAAAAATGAGGTTTATGTGCCATATATATATTAAAAAAATAAGTCCTAACTAAAAGGAAATGAAATAAAGAAATAATGTTTCAGGACGCGTTATCGATTGACGATACTGACCTACGGACCGTGGATTGATCTACGGTCCGCAGGTCCCTTCCGTGACTCAGGACTTGGGGCAAATTTCTAACTTCAAAATCTTCAAATCTCTGAACCAAATGATGGAGCACCAGTACGGACCGTGGATTGATGTACGGTCCATGGATCCTCCTCCGTAGCTCCATACTTACAATCTTCAAAATCAGGTACTGGAACCCCTCTCTGAATCATTTGACGAATCAGCCGTATGGTCCGTAGATCAATCTACGGTCAGTCGATTGCAACCGTCGTTCCACACTTGGTCAAGAATTCCCTAATTTTCCTTCAAGTGTTGCATGTCCATGTACGACACCCATCTACGGAGCGTAAATCAACCTACAGTCCATGGATCACCTTCATAGATGCCCTTTTGTGTACATCCTTCAGCTTTGCCTCTCTGTTTCCACGTCTAAACATATTTCCTGAAAACATGAGAAAAATACATAAAAATTAATACAAAATGGCCCTAGACACACACAACTCTTAAGTGAAGTGTACTAAAAATATCGTAAACTCACGGTATATCAACACCCTCAACTTAAATTCGTTGTTTGTCCTCGAGCGATGTACTAAGACTCTAAATGACACTTGTATAAAAGCAAGCAATCACATGGCTCTCTACTCCGAATCTCTTTTTGGGTGCAAATCTTTTCTCTCAGACTCAACAAGCTAACTTGTGCGGATAAAAACATGACAAAGATCGACCAACCAACACACAACATACACTGTTTTACTATCACCAAGGTACCAACTTTCCAACAATGTAACTAGTGCCCTTACTTCAGTACAAGGATTCATTCAACACTCACACTCATAAGTAATTTCAAGTACAGTTAGTTCTCAATACCATAGGCTTGCGTTTCTTTTCACTGCTTAGACTCTCCACACTAGGTTCTAGGATCATTATAGGACTTTCTTGGCTTATAACGTAGGCTCAGGGTCAGGTGTGGTACATTTGGGTACTTTTTAGTGACTTTCTGCCCTCGACATTACATTAGGCTTCCTATCTCTTTTTTCCCTATTCTTGACATCCTACCATTTTACCTTATTTCCCTTGATTCTCTTCAACCATAGATGTGACTTTAGACTTTGTAGCTCTTTATTTTTCACTTTCATCTTTTTCTCGCGTTTTATTCTTTTCTTTAGCTTTCAACAAGTCACATTCTTTCCTCTCTTTTCTTTTTCTCTTTTTTCAACATCAAACTCTTTTCATGCCCATTTTTCTTTAGATTTTCTCTTTCATGGTCACCCTCAACTTATGGATTTTCCATTGGTTGAGGTGCACAATACCCGAAGTCGGATCAAGGCCAAGATTGATGTTACTTTTTACATTAGCCACCCTCAACTTAGGCTTTTGGCCTAAGTTGAGGTGCACATGTCCAAGGAGGGACTGATAGCATCCAAGGAGGCCCATAACAAGATCTCAAACCAAGGAGTTCAATGATAAGCTCAATGGGCTTCAATCGCTGATCCAAAGGTGTCTTATTGGGGAAGAACAGCTCAAGCCCAAGGGAGAGGAATTGTCCAAATGCTACAATTATTTGGTGGCCCAAATTCAAGCCCAAGATGAGGAATTTTAAGGTCCAATTTCGTGCAAATAAGGTCAAGAAGAATCCAAGAATCAGCCACAACAAGAGTTGCTTTCTGCCCAAGTTTTGAGAGAAGACTAGTCAAACTTTCCAAGATTGTCAAGATTCTTTTCCTAGTTGGGATTTACCTTATTTCTTTATTTATATATAGGTTATTAATATTTTCCTTAGTCTATTTATGGTCTCCTAAGTACCATTTAATGTTTTCCTAGAAGTACTAAATTTGTTCCTAGTAGGTTACTTTATTTCCTTTCTAGCATAGGATTCCTTGTAATTGTCTTTCTAGGGTTTGGCTGACCTTTTTAGCTTCTTATAAGGGGTCTTGGACGTGCTCCCCCCTTCTCCTATATATAGGAGTCCTTTTCATTCATTAAAGACAATTTAGATTGATATTAATAATATTTGAGAGAGTTCTTTGAACCTTTGTGACTTGTTCTTTGAGAATTTATCTTTAAACCTTTACTAGTTTCATAGTTTAAGGTATAAAGTAACGTCTTCTTGTGATATCTTTGGTTTCTTTTTGGTATTCTTTAGAAGGTGATTAGTTTCTACATACTAATTATTGTCTTTAGTTACTCATAAACCGGTCAAGATCTGAATCTATCGTTTTGATTTGTTTTCTCAAGTAAAGGCTAACTAGATTTCTTCCATAAATCTATACGTTGTTACTTGGATCTTTTCAAGGCCTTAGAACATCTAATCCTTGGAAATTCGTGGATCTTTCCTTCGAATTTCCCATATCTTTAGTTAGTTTTTTTTGTTTCTTTTCTTTGTGCTTCCGCATTCTAATATTCAATTCTCTATTTGTGATCTCCCTTAACCTTGTTGTTATCAAGTGGAATCAGAGCAGTTCTATCAAGATTCCGTTCTTGATATATCTTGGGATTTCTTCTTATATTAGAGCAGAAAAAAAAAAAAAAAAAAAACTGTAGCGTGAACAGTAGTGTGAAAAAAAAATATTGTAGCGTGAACAAAAAAAAAGTTATAACTTGCTCTCTAAGAAATCTGATTATTTGCCCTCCAAGAAATTTGAGTACTTGATACCCAAGAAAGCTTATTACTTGCTATTCAAGAAATCTTATTACTTTCTCTCCAAGTTTTGCATTAATTTGTTTCCAAGCAAGAAGGTAGCAAGAAGAGGGGATTCTAGATCTTTAAGAATATGAGGAATTCTTTTTTCTTGTTCTTATAATTCTAAAATAAGTTCCTTTTTATTCGTGTTTTGTTTTAATTAAATCCTACTTGTTCTAGGACTAGTTCTTTACTTTCTTTT